CTCCGTCATCTTTCTCCATCTCCAACAATCTCTCTTCATGTATCTTCGCCAATTCTGTCTTCTTCTCGTTTATCGATTTGCTTTGCTTATTCCTTGCTGCAGCTTCTTTAGATTAGCATTTTTGAGCGAAGTAAATAAGTTGGAGAAGATTTCTTACGAGAACAAAATCTAACTTCCTGAGAATTCGTGTCGTGTATCGGAGAAGATAATGTCGCATTCTAGAAAACCCTCGCATGACGCTGCCTTTGATTCTCTAACCAGCCGATTCCGTGACTCAGTGAGTTGTTACGAAGACAGTAATAAGCCTGACTTCAAAGAGCTCGATCTAGGTTCGCCTGTTTCACCATTGACTTCTCGTGGTTTAATCAACAACACCAATCATGTTCCCTCCAACTCCAGCAGTAGCGCAAGCTCTTCTGGCTCAGTCTCCGGCAAAGCAACCAGTACTCCGCAATTGCCTAAACGACTCGAAAACGGAGCAAAAAGCTACTCCGCGGAGTTCTCGGGTTTGTCCGAGATCAGCCCGCCCGCCCACGGATCCGTCCCAACGATCCGGAACGCGAAACCGGGTCACCGAAGATCCGTCTCTGCCGGACCTCCATTGATCTACTCCGGTTCGAGTTTTACTACCACCGGTAACGTCAGTCACGGCAATGGTGCAACCTCGGTTTCGTCGCATCCGAACCCGAACGTGCTCCCTAGCGGCAACATTTGCCCCTCCGGGAAAATTCTCAAAACTGGGATGGCTGCTCGTGTTTCCAACAGAACCGACACCCTTTGTATGGGCACAGGGAATTACGGGCATGGAAATATTGTTCGTGGTAATGGAAAGTTGGGTGGGGCAGGAAATGCAGTGGAAGGAAATATGCAGAAAGTAACAGGTAGCACCATTGATGCAGAGGAAGTGAAAAGGGCAGGCAATGAGATGTATAGGAAGGGGAATTTTATGGAGGCTTTAGCGTTATATGATAAGGCCATCTCGATATCGCCGGAAAATGCTGCCTACCGGAGTAACCGGGCGGCCACGTTGACAGCATTAGGTAGAATAGCTGAGGCTGTACGGGAGTGTGAGGAGGCTGTGAGGCTGGACCCTGGCTATACAAGGGCTAATCAGCGTTTGGTTTCTCTCTACCTTAGGTGTGTTTCTTGACGTTTTTAAACTTTCTTCTGCTTTAACTTGTTTTATTTGATGATGGTTCGTTCATGCTTCCTTGGAATAAGTAATCGTGGTGGTTGAATACTCGTGATTAGTTTATATATGGTTCATTTGATTTGAGTTTTATGATTGGAATTTGTGAGGAGGCTTTTTGGGTTTCAGTCTCTTTTCCTGATTTATTACTTTAACAACATAGTGGGAGCGAGATAAGCTTGGAATTACAATGGTATTCTCATTTTATCTTTTAATTAAGTTTGGATTTCTGACACCTTGCTATCTAGGTAGTAATCAGAAATATATCTTGAATTCGAAGTTGCTTTAATCCTCAATCAAACACGAAAACTATAACCATGATTCGTATATTAAGGATTTTCTAGTAACTATGGTAAAAGAATTTAACCAAAGAGTTGCATTAAATATAGCTTAAGTTCTTATTTCATACATATTTCTATATTTTTTGCTACATGTTTTGATTGTTCCTTATGTTGATTATAATCTGATTGGCTGCTATGCAGTTTTCGCGCTTTCTTTGTTATTTTAGATTTATATGGATGCGTTAATACATTTCCAAGGGTCAACAGTGTCTTCATCTACTATTAGGGTTTGTTTTTCCTATTTTTGGATCAAAACCAGTAGACTCTAGTTTTCCTTCCTTGGTTTTAAGTTTCATGAGTCATCCAGTTTTGCTCGATATTTTTTTGTTTTCCATTTCATTTGTCTGGTTATGGTAGTTTTGTTCATTTAGCTACATGGATTCCTTGTTAGTGTTCTTTCTATTTAAAAATTGTTTCATTACTACGTATTAGAATCCTTTTCAAATGGTTTCTTTATCAGGTTAGGGCAGGCTGAAAATGTGCGGCGCCATCTCTTTTCTCCTGGGCAACAACCTAATTCTGCTGAGTTGCAGAAGCTGCTGGGACTAGAGAAGCATCTTACTCGATGTGCAGATGCTCGAAAAATAGGTGATTGGAAGAATGCAATTAGGGAAGCTGATGCAGCAATAGCAGTTGGTGCAGACTTCTCTCCGCAGGTGTAAATTCTAACCATAATCTGAATATTTATCCTAGTTGACATAAACATGAACGATTATGAGAACTTACCAGGATGGTTTTACAGCTTGTTGCTTGTAAAGGAGAAGCCTTTTTGAAGCTCCATCAAATTGAGGATGCAGATTCTTGTCTGTCTAACATTCCTAAATTGGAGTACGATCCTCCCTCACAGATCAAGTTCTTTGGTATGGTTGCTGAAGCTTATGTGCTCTATGTCCAAGCCCAAATGGAGATGGCATTGGGAAGGTGAGCTCCTTAAAGTGAAGTTAAAATTCAAATTTGTTTATTGCCTTTCGGGTGAGCAAGAATGGATAATAGATTTGTTGCAGATTTGAGAATGCAGTTTCCAAGGCAGAGAAGGCAGGGTTATTCGACCACAGCAATCTAGAGGTTGCAACCCTTTTGAGCAATGTGAAAATGGTGGCAAAGGCTCGTGTCCGTGGTAATGACCTTTTCAGCTCTGGGAGATATTCGGAGGCCTGCATGGCTTATGGGGAGGGTCTTAGATATGATCATTTCAACTCTGTTCTGTATTGCAATAGAGCAGTTTGTTGGTCCAAGCTTGGGCTGTGGGAAAAGTCTGTGGACGATTGCAACCAAGCGCTTAAAATCCAACCAAATTATACGAAGGCCCTCCTTAGACGGGCTGTTTCTAATGAAAAGGTGAATTAGCATTCATGCTATTGGAATTATTACCTACATCTGTATTCATCTTTATCTTTTTTAGGTCTAGAGTTCATCTCTTCCAGTTTTTTCATGTTTGATGTTATAGCTTGGACGGTGGACAGAAGCCGTGAGAGATTATGAGGTCTTGACAAAGGAGCTTCCTGGAGACAAGGAGGTTGCTGAATCTTTCCGACGTGCACAAATCGCGCTGAACATCTCTCGTGAAGAGGAGGTTCTTAATATAGAATCTAATAATGAAGTGGAAGATGTCTCTAGCATGGATAGATTTAAAGCTGCAATATCAAGGCAGGTAAGTTTCATGCTTCCAACAGAAATATATCTATACACCACGTGATTTTTCCACTAAGTCGCAATTTTCTAAATTTTTCAGGTGTATCTGTAGTTTACTTTAAGGTGGCATCAAATGAACAATGTGAAGAGTATCCCCGTTCATTAATATGCTCTGTGTTCGATATCCATCTGTTCATTTTTTTAAGGTGGGCAATTTAATGCTCTTTGCTTTTCCTGTGTTAATAAATTGTTTTTATTGCATTTGATGCTAATTACCATCTATATTCACAAGTTATTTGTTTCTTCCTCAATTTCGTTTCAATAGTAAAGTTGCCATAGGATAAAGCTGTTAGTGATATTTATACATAAGCAGAACAAAATGGGGCTGGGATCTCAAATGCTTTACGCAAAACCATAAAAAAGCTGATGGTCTTCCGTGCATGTTTGTTAACCATATTTCATGAACATACTGCATTATCCACCGGTAAGGACAGCTAATCTCTCGTTGATTAATTACTTGAAGGTTGATTTGGAGGAGAGCTTAGCAGTAGCTAGAGCTGAGAATATAAGAAAAGTTCCAACATTTAAGATCTACAAGAACGGACACAAAGTGAAGGAGATGGTCCACCCAACCTATCAGTTGTTGGAGGAATCTGTCAGGAGCTGCAGTCTATAGAACATATCCTCGTGCATCTTCTCAGTTCAAGCTGTACACAGTAAAGTTGATGGTAATTGCCCACATTATTCATTCTTGCTTCTTGATTCATCGCCAAGTCTACCTGTGACATAATAATTGTTTCATACAGTTATAAGGCAGAGAAACCCTAGAAAAGAAAATAGCTTTTATAGTTCCCAGTTGAGGGATTATATATATTTTTTATTTACATATGCTATCCGGTTTATTCTTGATATTACAACTGCAATAGTTCATTTTTTGTTCTCGGAAACTTCAGTTGCGTATATATGTTGTATGAATCCAATCTTTGATTATTAGAAGCAAAGCTGTAAAATTATGGATATCCAATTTTGTTATCACTTACAGTTGAGCTTAAGAGAGAGTTGGAAATGAGATGGAGATGGTATTGGCTAGAAGTTGGGAAATTTTTGTTGGCAGGCAAAATGGATGTATGCTTTGCACGGTAGTCAAGTAGGAAGGAGATGCATGATGGATATTTTTGCTTTCCTTTTCTTACCCTCACCGTGGCTCTCACTTGTCTAGGTTTCGGGCGTTGAGTTTGTCTATAGTAAATTTTTTCAAGAAAAGCTCAAGTAACACCCAACAGAATCGATTTCCTGCGAGAATCTTTCAGAATTATGAAAATGATCATTAGGATCGTTAAGGAAGTGGGTGGGGGGTTATCGTTATATGTTTTTACATTTTACGTTCAGCTCGCTCTTAAGGATTCCTGTAGACTTGAATACAGAAATGAGAAACAAAAGCCTCTTTTGTAGGAGAATCAAACACAACATCCATTGCTTAAGGTGACTAGTCGATTGGTAAAAAAGTGTTGGAAAAAGGAAGTGTAGCTTTTGGGATGGTCTGGTACTAAACTAGACAATCAAGAACAGTAAAGATTCTGTTAACCCACATAATTTAAATTAGTGGGTGCATTAATTAAGTAGGTTTTTACTTTACAATCTGTGAACTTTATGTGGCATGGTTCAAAGATTATTCCATTAGATATCTATTTGAAACAGTTAAAATCGTTGGAGTTTTGAACTGTAGAATGGTTGAAAGATTTTAAGACTTGATATTTTGAGGTGGGGCGACAGTGAGTTTTGAATTGGGGTCAGGAGACCGCAAACTTGTCGGCCGCTACTCTCTTGACTCGGTGTTAAAAAGCATATACGGGGAGAATCAGAATCCAAAGCGTTTGTTTGTAGTTAAATTATTTTACCGGCGGTAATTTCATCCCTTTTGATTTTAATATTTTTTTTTATTAGTTTCTAGTTATTAATTTGATATCTTAATATTTTTATTTATTTTAAACATTTAATTTTTTGTATTCTTAATCAAGAATTTTAAATTTATTAAATTATATTTATATATTTTAGAATATAATTTAAAAAATAACTTTGATTAATTAATAAATTGATAACATGATTATGTCTATTTATTATTATTATCATTAATTTATTCATTTACATAATTAGTCAATTTTTTGAGTTATGTTTTTAAAAATATTTCAACTTATGTTAACCATTTTTTAAAAATAAAAAAATTGAGTGTTTAAAATAATTATAAATATTAGGTATTAAATTTCAAGTATTTTTTGATAAGTTATTTTTTTAATAAAATATTATCTCATATTTACAAAAATTAAAGAACACATTTGTACGGTTCAAATTCATACAGAAAAGAGAATCGTTGTGCTGATTTCTTAGCCAATTACGTCTTTTCTGACCCTCATGAGCCGATCTGGCTCAACTCACCAGAAACAATTTCGTTAGTGTCTCTTAGCCTAAAATGTGTATTGTTTAGGCTTATTCTTGTATTCTCTTTTATATATATATATATATATATATATATAATGCATTTGAATATGTTAATCAATTCGACTAATATCTATACACATAATCGTAAATAAAAAATTTTCTGGGTTAAACTTAAAATTTGCTCAATTTAAGATTCAGAAACCAAAGAACAACAAGAATAAAACTTCAAAAGCAAATGAAGTATTGTAATTTCATTTATTCTCTTTCTTACATAAAAACTGAAAATGGCCTTCAATTTCAACACCCACACTCCAAAAAGGCCATGCATGCAAATCCAACGACGAACAAACGATCCAATCACTGCCCAGGAGCAAAAGCCTCGACAGGGAAGGTCTTAGTAATCCCTGCAAGACTCTTGAAATGAATCTTCCCAGTCAGTGAATCATCAATGGTGATTTCACTAACAGGAGGCCAAAGCATAAGCTCCTTAGCCTTCACTCCTTTCAGCTTCTTGATCTTCTTCTTGCTTATAAACCCATGAACGTCTGTATCGTAACTTACCAGTTTGCTTATCATCTTGAACTCATGCTCCACTTTCTTCTCCTGCACAATCCACATATACCCTGTACTTCTCACGTATCCCACTTCCACCACCTTCTCCAGCGGCAGCAAACCTCCCGGCAACTCGAATTTTTCGAGCAGTGAAACCGCCAGTTTCATTCCTTCTTCCTGACCTTTCTTCACGATTCCTCCTTCTTTATGATCTGCCATTGATTATCCCAATTAGCTTCTTCAACTTACGGAATGATTAAAGGGCTTCGAGTGTTGATGTGAGAACGAAGATAGATATAGCTTCTATATATATATATACATATGTATACACAGATACGTACCTAGTGCAAAATAAATAATTAGAAACTTGGTGGTGGAAAACAAAGTCGTTCTGCGTTGGAATATTCGTCCTGTTATTATATTCTTTCATGTAATTCTCCTCCAAACTCTTGTCTGTAATTCTTTGTCTTTAATCATATAATTGAAGTCCTCGAAACGAGGGTTAATATACTATTATACATATATGATATATAGAAAGCTTGTAATTCGAACGACATTGAGTTATGTCATCAGATTATAGTTAACACACTTAAATTTTTTAACGTTCAAAAAGCCTAAGTCTTATATTTTGAAGTTATGACTACTTAAAAGTAAAGAAATTTAATTGTTAGTAATGTTAAAAATAATGATGTAATTATGA